TAAGTTGAGAAGTGATAAATGCGCAGACCAGTGTTTCAGTATCCTTTAACTTGAACAGGGGGTGAAGACGTGCAGTGTTATGGCGGTGAAAATATAGTTTTGGCAAGCAAGTTTATGTGAGGGGTGAACGTAAGCCAAATAATACACCAAGATTACTGATTAACTGAGAAAGCTTAACAATAACTTAAACAATACCAAGGACAAAAATCGACATTTTGATATCTGAGACTTGGAGGCAGCAAGTATAACTTCAGCTCATTTGGCATTTAGTTTCAAAAAGTTGGCATTCAAGCAAATCTTTAGCCCAGACATACTTTCAATCAGAGAACTAGGTGAAAAGTTGGTGTAGGATTCAGTGCTAACATAAATCTGGGTGTCATCAGCATAACAGATAATTTGACCAAATGGGAGCATGTAAATTGAGAAAGGGATGGGACCCAGGACAGAACCCTGAGGCACCTTTTGAGTAATTTGGGCAGAAGAAGATTTCTGTTTACCTATTGTAATAATAAAGTGCTGTCAATCAGTAAGGTAAGCTGCCTCCACTCTGCCTCCTTCTGGTCTCAATTACAACTTTAGTCATTAACACTGCAAATGTAGGATCAGTTTTAACTTCCCATTTCCCATTCCCATGGTCATTTGGACAGTGAAGGAGCGTCTCCCAGATCAGCAGTCCATGCTGTTATCCATGCTAGCTAAATGCTTGTTCAAGAAGAGGTGGTACACCCAGAATGTTACATATATTCCAGTGTTCAGGTCTTTCTCTATCCTATAAAGTTTCTTTATGATAGATTTTCGCACTAATATGTGAATAACATCACCACTGAGACTCCGTACAGAATAATATGTAAGCTAGTCATTATAATTTACACTTCCAGTGTCTATTAATAGTAAAAAATGATTAGTTACCCTGAGGCTGAGAGTATAATTCCACAACCCTACTTCTCTCTGCCAAGCTACATATAGGATTCAACACTAAAGTGATAAAACTGGGTCACTAGAGCACTTCTGTACTTCTGAGCACTACAGTACGGTAAAGTGATCTGTATGAGTTGTGCCGAAGACAGGCTGTCATGTTCCATCTAACTGACCACGAAACTGAACAGAGGTCAGCAGCTGAGATGGTCCATTTGGGGCCTTACTCAACATGTAAAATTCATTCTGTGCTAGAAAATATTTTCATAATGTATAGAAATGGATCATAATGCATTGTACGTGTTAGAGTGGTGGTGCATAATGAAAGACATAGTAATGTGGTGGTATTACGCAAGATTTCCATTTCTTTGAATGGGTGTCCGGGTTATGTAGCTCACACCAGAGAGTGAAGTTTTATGAAATGACATTTTTGTCTCGGCTCAAAGGTACTTGGTCAGCCAAGACCTGTTTGGCATCTGAAGTTTACTTCTTTGGTTTTGCACTGGAGTTATAATGCAGCTAACAAGTAGTGGAAGCTTAAGCCCCACCAAACTGCATGGCTAAATCATCACACATCGGCCTCCAACACTGTAGAGTTATTAAGTCATCTTGAATAGACTGGTTTATTTGGTTTCTGACATTTAATGACATACTGTGATCTATAAAAATGGACAGATGTACATTATATAGCTAAGAGCTGCAGTAGAAGCCATTTTGAGGCCTGAATTTTGTCTCTGTTCTGAAATTTGTCTGTCCCTAAGATAACTTTCAAACATTCTGCATGATCCCTGAATATCCAAAGTGCTTTTTCCTAAGAGCCTTATCACTTTTACTAGGGCTGCTCTAAACAATTGTTTCTTAAACATGTGTTTTCTTGGTTATTTTATCAATGCTTGGATTAATGTAAGTGAATCATAACAAAAAAAGGCATAAGACAGTCCCATTACATCCTGTGCCGAAATATTCTGGCCGCTAGGATAGTGCCAACACCATAACAGCCCTCTTGTATTAGATCAAACGATTCTTTGGCTGCAGACTTGTTCACTGGGATACAATCAGTACCACAGTACCCCTCGTGAACTGGGATTGAATCCATGACCTCTTGTGGCAAAGACTTTTAACCACTAGGATAGCCTGAACACCACAACAGCCCTCTTGTAATGAACTATAATCAGTCAATTCTTGGGCTACAGCTATGTTCTGAGACCTCTGGGATAGCTAGAGTGAACTATTACTCCTTATCAACTGGAATCAAATCCATGACCTCTTGTAATCAAGTCCTTCAACTCTTGGAAAGTACCATTGGGATCAAATGATTCTTGGGATAAAGCCATGTTCTCAGATGACTTGGATACCATTACACACAATACCCCTCATGAACTGGGATGAAACCCATGAGACCCATGACCCTTGTGGTCAAGTTCTCTAACCATGAGAATAGTACCAGCATCTCAACTTGTAATGGTCTGGAATCAAACAAATCTTGGGCTATTGTTGTTCTCAGACTGCTGGGATACTACCATACAGCAGTACCCCTCATGAACTGGGATAAAACCCATGACTTCTTGTGGCAAAGTTCTCTAACCACGAGGATAGTCCCAACACCTCAACTCCTTTCTTGTAATGGTCTGGAGTCAACTGATTCTTGGGCTCTTGTCATGTTCTCAGACTGCTGGGATACTACCATACAACAGTACCCCTCATGAACTGGGATAAAACCCATGATGTCGTGTGGCCAAGTCCTCTGACCACTAGAATAGCACCATACCGCAACACTTCTCTTTTAATGAACTGAAATCAAATGGTTTCTGGGATACAGCCGTGTTCTCAGACCACTGGGATACCACTATACCACAGTACCCCAGATGACCTAGAATGCAAACCCTTGACTTCCTGTGGCCAAGTCCTCCGACCACTACAATGGCACTAACACCACAACACCCCTCTTTTGTGAACTGGGATCAAACCTGTGATTCTTAGGCTTCGCACAAGACCTTTGGCCACTCTAGTACTGCCATTCGTCACGAACTGGACTCGAACCCCCTGCATCTTCGCCGGTAGCTAATTCCTCTGGCCACTGGGGCACCACAGACACCACAACATGCCTATATATCTTTTCCCCTGTTCCATTTTTCGTCCACCTCAGGCACTTTGCTGCTCTAAATAGGCACAGTACTCAGGGGAATCAGAGCTTTGGCTGTATATAAAGCAGATTACTAACCTCAGCAATACGATTACCTTACAGCACCGGATACTGGGCCACTCTCAGCTTTTTAGACAATTGCAATTATCATAATGCTGTGGGTTAGCACACATATAATAGAATCCAGCTCTCCTCTTAGACGGCTATTAGAAAAGGCATTAAAGACTAATGGAGAGGCCTGATATGACATGGCACAGACGGATGTCATATATAAAAGTGTGTGTGTGTATTGTTTCTGTGAAAGATGAGATTGATGTAGCAGATAATGGCGTATCATTATATAACTGCTGGACTGCTGAAAGGCTCAGTAGAGGCTGATGATGTTCCATAAGAAGACCATACTGAAGAAAGGCTTTTTATAGATACATCATTGGTTCCTTTTGTTTGGACCTAAATTCTCTTCCTTCGTGGAAGCAACTGCTTTACGAACTAATTGATAACAGAAACAAAACAAGCTAGCCAGCAAAATGCTATAATCAGCAAGAGGTTATGTTTATTAGTAATGTGTTCTCGACACACACAACACACATCTACCTGCTTAATTGGAGTTTTCTGGGGGGACTTTTCAGCCACGGCAACTTACATTACATCCATGGGCTAAAGACAGATTGGATTGGTGTAGAAAGTTCACACTTAACTTGTTCCTGCCTTAATAAGTCTACATTCCCACCCACATTTAGCCCCAAATTTCTTATAGTTGTCCTCAGACGCCCATGATCTTTTTACCAGCATCTAATATGATTGTAATGATAAATATGACGATGGTGGTAATAATGAGAAGGATGTGGATAATGATAATGGATGTGATGATAAGGAGGATGTGGAAGATGATGGAGGTGATAATGGTGATGATAAGGAGGATGCGGATAATGATGATACCATTAGAGGGGGCACATGCTCAAAGTTAAAACATGGCACATGGGTGGTTAAATATAGACTTTAGGACTAGTTTTGAAGGTCTTGAACTGAAATCTCTTCATCATCATGGTGTAGACGAATGAAAAATATGGTAATGACAAAGATGGTAATCATGATGACTGTCATTTACCTCAGGTTTGACAATGAGGGAAGAGCTCAGCTTCTCTTTACTAATGTTGTCAGTCTGGGCTGCAATTGCACCAGTAGGCCTCTAGAGGGCAGTGTTACCCAGACATTATGAGCTTAAGACAGTGTTCTTCAGTGGGACTCAAAGCAGTCTACTGGACCCCCTAGACAGTCCACATTTGTATCCCAGCTGTATCCCAACTCCTGAAACCATTAAGAACCCTGAATTCACTGGTTTATGTGTGTGGAGAGCTTAGATAGAGTGAAATGAGGGACCAGACGAGGGGCCCTGAGGACTAATTTGAAAATCACTGCTTTAAAGGGGCACCCAGGCCTAAAACTAGCATTTACTTTGTTATTAGTCATGTTTTGAAATATTCTGTAGTGCAGCATTGCATCCTTCAAGCTCGCCAGTCTGTCGGAATTAAAGATTTTGTATAATTTTTGTGTTTTTCTCCATCGATGTTCTCTTACTAGAAAGTCTAGCGTGCATCACACATTCTGAGCTTCCTTCTACACACATCAGCATGCAGTAAAAGAAAAAAACAAACAAAAAAACATTTCAAACAGACTGCCCTCAAATATGTACCCCAAAGCATTTGAAGTTCCTTCCACTTTCAAGAAGACTTTCCTAATCTTTAAACTTAAAAATCTCACTGAAGATGCTACTGCAGTACCACTGTAGGAGGCCAGTAGGCCTGTTTACAAGAGATGCATCAAAGGCTAGATTTTTCATTTGGACTTAGTGTCCCTGATTTTGTATTTTAACAGTTGCATACTGTATATAATAGTTTTACCAGTTCTATTTCACCTTCGCTCTCTCTTTCTTTCTATCTAGCAAAGTACATTGGCTGCTATGTGGACAACACGCAGAAGAGGGCGCTTCGGGGAGTGTCTTTCTTCGACTACAAAAAAATGACCGTCTTCCGTTGCCAGGACAACTGCGCCGAGAGGTTTGGCAACTTTGAGCTGCAACTTGCGCCACATGCACGTGTACACTGAGTCACACGTGAATGCACCCACTCCAAAACCCATACGCATGACTCATTTCAGGCATATTATGATAAGGAGATTCTCCATTGAATGCTTATTTACTTAATGAATTCTGACCAGAGGGTACTTTCCTCATACGCTACAATTCCTTTCTGATTATAGACATCAACTTATGGATATGACACATATTCATGAAACACAAAGGCATACAGTGGCTGCAGGATATAAGATGTTAATCTTATCAAGTGCGTAGCATTGAAGAAAATATGGAATGCCAGCTCTCTCTCTCTTCTCCTTCCTTCTTTTTTTCCCACTCTTCCTCTCTCTGCTTTTAGTTCAGTTCAGCTTTTGTTAAAATTGACTGAAATAGATACATAAATAAAGAAATAGTTATTACAATTGATAATGATACCAAGATGAAAATGAGCCAAGATGATTCTGTCAAGTTGATCTGCCAGATTGAGACAATGACAAGATCTCACTACTTTTTCTGTGGAAATGTAGGCCAGTTTTTCTCCATTTCAGTGTTCTGGAGGCTCATGGGAGACGTTCCAGAACATCCCAATCACGTTATACAACCCCCATTTCCATAAAAGTTGGGACACTGTGCAAAATATAAATAAAAACAAAATGCAATGATGTGCAAATCATTTAAACCCTATATTTAATTGAAAATAGTACAGACAACATGTCCAATGTCGAACTGAGAAATTGTATTGTTTTTTGAAAAAGATATACCCATTTAGAATTTTATGCCAACAGCATAAAAAAAAGTTGGGACAGGGGCAACAAAAGGATGGTAAAGTTGTGCAATGCTAAAAAAAACACATGGTGGTTGATGGGCAACAGGTCAGTAACATGATATGGGCAAAAAAAGCATCCCAGAGAGGCTGAGTCTTTCAGAAGTAAAAATGGGGAGGGGTTCACCACTCTGTGAAAGACTGCATGATCAAATAGTGCAACAATTCAAGAATAAGGTTTCTCAACATAAAATAGTGAAGAACTTTTGCTTTTCATCATCTACAGTATAAAAATAAAATTTAAAGATTCAGTGCAAGGGACAAGGCCAAAAACCAGTATTTGCTGGCCGTGATCTTTGGGCCCTCAGGTGGCACTGCTTTAAAAACAGACATGATTCTGTAGTGGAAATCACTGCATGAGCTCAGAAACACCTCTGAAAAACACTTTTTGTGAAAACAGTGTGTCGCTGCATTCAAAAAGGCAAGTTAAAACTCTAAAACACAAAGAAGAAACCATATATAAACAGGATCCAGGAATACTGCCACCTTCTCTGGGCCCGAGCTCATTTAAAATGGACTGAGGGGAAGTGGAGAAGTGTCCTGTGGTCCAACGAATCATAATGTGAAAATCTTTTTGGAAATTATGGACACTGTGTCCTCCAGGCTAAAGACCCCTCAGCTTGTTATCAGTGCACAGTTCAAAAACCAGTATTCATGATGGTATAGGGGGGACATTAGTGCACATGGTATGGGTGACGTGCACATCTGTGAAGACACCATTAATGCTGAACGATATATACATGTTTTGGCAACATATGCTGCCACCCAGATGACGTCTTTTTCAGTGAAAGCCTTGCTTATTTCAGCAAGACAATACCAAACCACATTCTGCATGTATTACAACAGCATTGCTCTGTTTTAAAAGAGTCCGGGTGCTAAATTGGCCTGCCTGCAGTCCAGATCTGTCACCCGCTGATAACATTTGGCGCATTATGAAATGAAAAATACAACAAAAGTGATCCAGAACTGTTGAGAAGCTGAAATTCTATATCAAACATGAATGTGAAAACATTCACTTTTGGTCTCCTCAGTTCCCAAACTTTTATAGAGTGTTGTCAAAGGAAAAGGTGATGAAACACGGGGTAAACGAGCCCCATACTAACTTTTTTGGAACATGTTGTCGGCATCAAATTCAAAATGGGCTCATAATTTTTTAAAAAACAAACAATTTTTCTGTTTCAACATTTGATACGTTGTTTTTGTAGTATTTTCCTTTAAAAATATGATTTACATGATTTACATATCATTACATTCTATATTTATACACATTCTGCACGGCATCCCAACTTTTTGGAAAATGGGGTTGTATTTGCACCGCTCTGTCAGATGGCGTACGTCTGCTTCTCTTTAATCACAGTCCAATTATAATGAGAGCACAGCCTGTTCTGTCTAGCCAGACAGGTCAGATAGTTCTATTATTACAATAGTTACATGATGGTGTAACATGCTGGCCATGTAACTTGCTATTTCACTAAGTCACTAAAAGATGGAGGCTTCATCAACCAGTTCTAATTGAACTGCAAACGATTTTTGGGGGGTTTTACTAACATAGCAGTTAAATCGCTTGCATGCAGGAACAGTTGCATTCAGAATTGCATCACGCACCATGATCTGCAGGATCAGAATTTAGAAACCCGGGGGTTTAGCAAAGTTGCCGCACTAGTGAGGCCAAGGTTGAGAATGGGGTTTCCTGAATCTGGGCGTTTCGCTGAAACAGTACCAGACCGTCTTCAGTGTTTTGCTATAGACCACGGCGGGTGTTGGTTCACAGCTGATCTCGTAGAAGCGTGTCAGCATATTTCTGAGTGGTTTCATGAGCGTTTCCTTCATGCAGAAGATGTACTGGTGGCCTGCGGTGAGGAACAGGAAACGCTTAGATGTGCTAATTGACTGTCACACTGAGATGGCTTCAGAAACATTTAGGCCAGCCTAAAATAAACTTTTGTCAAACACAGTTTAATAGTGAAAACTTAGTGGCGACAAAATGACATCATGCATTATTTCAGTAGAAATACATTTTTTTTTAATGTTTAAAGCAAAAAAGAAAAGGTTATGGCAAGCAAAAGATTACCCTGTTCTTCAGTAGTCAGGACCACCACAGAGCAGGTATTATTTGAGTGGTGGATCGTTCTCAGCACTAGTGACACTGGTGTGTTAACGTGTGTTGTGCTGGTACGAATGGGTCAGATGCAGCAGTGTCTGGAGTTGTAGAACTACAGAGTGCACCTATATGATAAGTGGAGCTGATAGAAGGGACAATGAGGGTAGATACAAGGAGCTGTTCCTAATAAAGTGTTCAGTCAGTGTACAAATTTTAGCAAATGTGTGAAGTTGACCGTGTTAAGGCCTTTGTAGAAAAGGGTCAGATTTTTAATGTTATCCCTTTCATTGAAACACGTATTCAGACGAGTCTCAGCTTGATTTGATGTACTCATCAAAGGCTGTTGCACAAACTTATGTCCAAGCCAGTTCGAGTGCATGTTGTCATGAAAGTGAAAGGTGGACGTTCAGTAGAAAATACTAAGAAATTCTGAAATTCAAATTCAGATTTCAAATGTTATACTTTTCATTCAGATCAAAATAGAAGCATTTTCAGGCGTAACATTATGACCACCTCCTTGTTTCTACGCTCATTGTGCATTTTATCAGCTCCACTTACTATATAGGTGCACTTTGTAGTTCTACAGTTACAGACTGTAGTCCATCTGTTTCTCTGCATACTTTGTTAGCCCTCTTTTACCCTGTTCTTCAGTGGTCAGGACCCCCATGGACCCTAACAGAGCAGATTTTATTTGGGTGGTGGATCATTCTCTGCACTGCAGTAGCACTGATGTGGTGGTGGTGTGTTAGTGTGTGTTGCGCTGGTCTGAGTGGATCAGACACAGCAGTGCCGCTGAAATTTTTAAACACCTCAGTGTCTCTGCTGGACTGAGAATAGTCCACCAAGCTAAAATATCCAGCCAACTGCGTCCTGCGACCACTGATGAAGGACTAGAGGATGACCAACACAAACTGTGCAGCAGCAGATGAGCTTTCATCTCTGACTTTACATCTACAAGGCGGATTGACAAGGTAGGAGCGTCTAATAGAGTGGACAGTGAGTGTTTAAAAACTCCAGCAGCACTGCTGTCTGATCCACTCAGACCAGCGCAACACACACTAACACACCACCACTACATCAGCTTTACTGCAGTGCTGAGAATAATCCACCACCCAAATAATACCTGCTCTGTGAGGGTCCGTGGTGGTCCTGACCACTGAAGAACACTATCTTTGTTTTGAGTGGAATGACCACATATTCACTCAGTAAAAAAAATCACTTTTATGTTTTGTAGGCTCCTTGTTTCTCTCACGTCCTAATGTAAACAAGGGCCATGGGGAACTGTGACTATCCTTCAGTTCATCAATACTGTCAAAAAGTGTCAAAACTCTGTCAAAAAAGAGGGAAAAACATGACTATATATCTACTACATAATGCTGTTTTCTCCTAGTGTGCATGGGATTCTAGTAGCAAATTAGCACTGAGCTAACGGCGATTCATATGAACATATTTTGGCCGTTTGTACTTTAACACGAACATTCGAAGCTTGCAAAAGACAATCCCTGTTTCACCTGAAGCTTAATACAGAAATATTAGCATATATTTAGCCTTATGACATTTTACAGTGACTCTGTCAGTATGTCCTGACTTTAAGCTGCAACTACTGTTTTCTATAACAACTAACTGAAACCTGGTTAGACTACAGCTTGTAGTTGACGTAGCCAGCGTGACTGTTTTTCTCACAGAACTGGTCACGCCTTGTACATGAAAGCGTGATTGGTTGATTCCACTTTCAGCTTCTAATTATATTGGTAGTAATCTAATACACTAGGCCTTCAGTTCTGCTCCTATTTACATAGATGGCTGTATCTACATATATGTCACATTAAACTCTTTAGTTTCCAACTAGACGTTAACAATGAAACTAGTGCAACTCTGGCAAAGTTTAAACACAACAAGCATGATGATCATAATAAACAAAAATAAGTCAAATCTACAGATGGCCCCGAGCTTTCACTATTGCGTGATGGGCACTGACTGGTGGACAGCAAGGGTCACGTTATCATTCAGTGCTGTGTCAGCATGGCCAAAAATTTTCCTGAATTACGTCACTACCTCATTTTGTGTTGCAGTTTCAGAACGCTTGGCTTACCCATGGCTGGGGATCATGTTTTAGTCATGTACATTTTTAATTAATTAAATTAATTTTGGATCCCTGAAAATAAGCATGCAGTAAAAATAGACTAAATGCTCCTAAGTTTATCCATATTTTAAATGACCTACAACAAATAAGACCAATAATGTAATAACCCAGTGAATGACCAAAGAATTGAAGGTGTTATATTATGTCTGAAATGTAAAGAGAATTGAAGCTAGAATTGAGAAAAGAAGACAATGAGTCTAACCTAACATCTCTTGCTGTTTAAAGGGGATATATGTATGCTGGCCTAGAGTTTGGAGCCGAGTGTTACTGCGGCCACAAGATCCAGGCGGCGAATGTGTCTGAGAGCGAGTGCAACATGGAGTGTAAGGGTGAGAAGAGTAACCTGTGTGGAGGAGCCAATCGCCTGTCCATCTACAGACTGGAGCTGAGCCAGGAATCAGCCCGCCGATGTGAGAACTTTACACACACACACACACACACACACACACACATACACACACACTTACAATTCCATGCATATTGGGATTGTCATGATGCCAGAATTTTTATTTCGATAAAAAGAGCAGTATCAGGATGTTTGGTCCTGTGGTACTGTGGCAAAATATTAAAAACACTTATCTTTGTCTAAACACTAGACATGAATTAAGCCTAGTCTTGGACTAAATTGCAGTGGCAATGGTAAATCACCATCACAAGTTCCTTTTAGTCTATGATTAGCTTTAATCTGGGTCTTGGAAACCAGCTCTTAATGTCCATTGAACTGAACACAAAAAAATATGCAATTTAATTTGCGTATAGACTTAAAATAAAGGTTCTTGGCTTGGGCCTAAAGTTCCAGGTAAAAAAAAAAAACTTTAATTGGTATAGAACCTGAATATTACGTAGGAGATCCTTAGATTCTAAACACATCTAATTTACAAATATGAATTTTTGAAGAACCATCAATTGACAGGTTCTGTCATTGTTGTTATTAAGTGCCGTCAAGTCTACTCCAACTCCTGCCGACCATATGGACAGTGTTTCTCCAGAATAGCCTGTCTTCTGTTGGGGTCTTCTGGCTTTTGAATGAGGCTGGTTCATGATTCCTTAAACTATATCCATCCATCTTGTTGCTAGTTGTCCTCTTTCCCATTTACCTTCAACTCTTCCATGTTTAATGCTCATTTCTAATGAACTGACTCTTCTGAGAAGATGTCCAAAATAACAGAGCTTCAGTTTGGAAAGGTTCTTTAGGGAACCGAAAATGGTTCATCTCTGTCATCGCTTAAAAAACCCTTTTGGCACCTTTATTGTTTAAGAATGTCAACCTGATGATAGCTTATTTAAAAGTTTGAAACGTGTTGAAAGTGAGAGTTGCAGTATTGAAAATGCATTGAACTCATTGTGCAACCTCAGTGGATATGTATGCATATATGTACATATGCAGGCAACCAATTCACAGACTGTTTTTTCCACAAAGAATGTGTGTGTGAGACAGGCTGACAGCTTGATTGCAAATATTAAAAATCCATATTAAATTAACCAAAGTTTAGAAAAAAATATATCCTTACCCATAATTCAAATAACTGAAAGCTAGAAAACTCGACTGCTCTGCCTGATCAGGACTGCGTTTCACACCGTGGCGCAGACACGGAAACATAAACAACCCTGTGAAAACCAGGGTTAGAGTTTTTGTGAACTTGTGTGAGACATTTAAGTGTGGAGGAAATATTCAAGTTCACTGCCAGATCAGCTCCTCTGCATCATCAGCTACATCACAGTGTAGTATGGTAGCTCCACTGCTGTGGAAAGGAAGGCACTGCAAAGGGTGGTGAAAACCACTCAGACCATCATCGAAGGCCTGAGCAATAAAGCAGCGTAATGGATATCATTGATAACGGACTAGTAACACGATGGTAATGTGTAAAAGGTGATGAGGGAGCGTGTCCCAATAGTAATTTTTCTTCTGTTTAAGAGAGACAGAGAGAGAGAGAAGCTTGTTAAAAAGCTCTTTTTTTACCTTCTAATTATTTTACTTTACGTTAGGTTTAGCTTGAGTAAATTTAACCGACAATAACTTCAGCTTGCTTCAGTTTGACTGGCTGGAGTAAAACAACTAAGCTAAAATGACTGGGTTTTACCCTAGAGCAGCTAGCTCCAGCACTGGAGAGAAAGTTCTTCTGATCCCCTCGTTAGTGGTCCTACCGAGCGTGCACATATCATTAGAATAGTGCGGTAGCTTAATGTTGCAAATGTTTAATGGTGTTTTTAATGTTAATTCAGTACAGACTTAATATTACTACTTCCTTCCTGAGATTATCAGAACATCCTAAGTATTCTTTTATTGCTGGTAATGTTTTCATATATGGTGATTTAAGCTATTAAAATGTCCTAGCTAGTTTTATGCGGAGTGCTACCTATAAATATGCGCTAGAGTAGGACATTTTGACAAGGTAGCGCAATTCATCAGAACACCAGGAAATGGGATGAGAAAAAGGTAATAAATAATATTAAATAGTATATATGCATAATATTTTATGCACTTTTTCTCTTAAAATATTGAGTTATGATGGGGCCTTTAAAAGGCTACAATGGATTAAACTTAAAATTTGCAGTATTTTCTGTACAGCTTCAGTGTCTTAGAGGATAGTTGAATATATGGAAACGTTGTTACGACAGAAAATGGAAAGTCTTGCGTGGACAGACTTTGGAAATCGCTTGCAGTTTGAAGTCCCCAGACAAATGCACACGTCCTCCTTTTAGCACGCAAGTCGCCATAAATCACCAGGAGAAGCTCATGAATGTATGTATTTTGTGGTAGCATCTGTTAAAACGACAGGTGAAGAAATTTACACAAGGTATTGTGTTACTTAGTATTATATTGCTCGATATTTGTTTTTATTAAAAAAAAAACAAAACATTAAAACAATTAATGTTTAAAAAGCATATAGACTGAAAATAGAATAGAAAGTAGATCAGGGCTGCGATGGAGCACTTGTGTTTTGGGGGTGGGGGTCGGGGGGATGCAATATTTTCAATAATCAATTTTTGTAATTAGAAAATATTGTGCCGATTATTTTTTTATGTCGCTCAGGCTCACATAACCGCAGCTGTCCTCCCGCACATACAGGACATCAACAATAAAAGATGTCTGAGGAAAGCCAGCAGTATCCCCGCAGACCCCACACACCCCAGCCACTTCCTGTTTCACAACCAGCAGGTTCACGAACAGTTTCTACCCTTGAACACTTAAACTAGTCACACCCTTGCCCCCCCCAGATCATGAATACAAAACACTAACTCAAACTATATGCACATTCTGCCTTAAGCTTATTCCGAATACTCTCCATGTTACTGCTAACTGACTTCAAAGTATGCAGAGAAACAGATGGACTACAGTCTGTAATCGTAGAGCCACAAAGTGCACCTATATAGTAAGTGGAGCTCATAAAATGGACAATAAGCGTAGAAACAAGGAGGTGGTCATAATGTTATGCCTGATCGGTATATATATATATATATATATATATATATGTCGTTTTTTTAGCTACACTTGCTATTAAGGTACACTTTGTAGTCCTACAATTACAGACTGTAGTTAGTTTCTATGCAAAACTAGCTTTTACTCTGAAGACCCCTCAAGCAAAATGCTGGATCGGTTGGTAACAACAGTCTACATTTTTCAGGGGGATGATGGAGTGAAAACCTATGGAGAAAAATAGGCTTATAACGTCTGTGTGTGTGTGTGTGTGTGTGTGTGTGTGTGTGTGTTTGTGCTCTTCTTGGCTCCTGAATTTCTCTTCAGTGCTTTGATTGCCTTCCAGCACTGTTGGAGCATCATTAACCGCATTTGGGAAAATACAAAATAGGTTTTTTAAAGAACAGTGTACACCTCCACACCCGTTTATAAACAACACATTGAAACCAGTTCAATAAGCAGAAGGCCTGCTTGTGTTGTCAAGACCCCTTCCTGTTTCCTCAGTGTGAGAAGCAGAAATATAACTTGCTGCCTCACACGATACTTTACCCCTAATGACTCCTGAGTAAACACAACCTTCATGTGACATTGTGCGTGCATCAGCAGGACACAGTAGCCACTTCCTCTGATATCTAAAGCATGTCTGTGATCGCAGCTTTTCATTTTATTTATATGACATTTGTTATTTTACAGTGTAGCTCTGATGAATGCCCACTGTCCACTTCATTAAAAACACCTACCTTGTACTTTCACTCACTGTCCACTTCATTAGAAACACCTACCTTGTACTTTCACTCACTGGCCACTTCATTAGAAACACTTACCTTGTACTTCCACTCACTGTCCACTTCATTAGAAACACCTACCTTGTACTTTCACTCACTGGCCAGTTCATTAGAAACACTTACCTTGTACTTCCACTCACTGGCCGCTATATTAGAAAGACCTACCTTGTATTCCCACATACTGGCCACTTTATTAGAAACACCCACCTTGCATTCCACTCACTGGTCACTTTATTAGAAACAGCCACCTTGTACTTCCACTAACTGTCCACTTTATTAGAAATACCCACCTTGCATTCCACTCACCGGTCACTTTATTAGAAACAGCCACCTTGTACTTCCACTCACTGGCCACTTTATTAGAAACACTTGCCTTGTTCTTCCACTCACTGACCACTTTATTAGAAACACCTGCCTTGTACTTCCACTCACTGGCCACTTTATTAGAAACACCTCCCTTGTACTTCCACTCAGTTTTTGAGCTCCTCCTACCTTATTGGTCCATATGTGTACAGTTACAGACTGCAGATTATCTGTTGCTACCCCTTGTCTACCCCAGTCATTGGTCAGTTTCTGACCACAGGACTGCTATTATCCACATGCTGTTTGGGTTCTGGATCATTCCAGAGCTAAAAGATGGTTAACACAAACCATGCATCAACAGATGGGCTACAGTCTCCAACTCTAACTGTACTCCGGCAAGGTAGATGCTACAAAGTAGGGGTTTCTGATAAAGTGGCCGCTGAGTATTGTGCCTTTATTATCCTCTTCACCTTTCCTGACCTGCTCTGTTTATCTGCTACTGAGTTACTCTTTAAATCAAAAACAGTGAAAAGTATTCTTGTTCATTAGTTTATTTATCGTCCAGCTTACAGATCAGAACACTGTACATTTGTTTGGAACAACTATAAATGTCGTTTTCCACATGGTGACTGTGTCGAGAGTATTAGGTTATTGGTGTATGGTTCTGAGTTGTGTGTGCTGTTCAGGCACATTTCCCTAAAAAAAAGCTTAACGCTTGTCATTTGCCATTTGTTTTCAGTGAAAAGGTAATGAATTAAAAATTTGACTGGTATGTTTTTTTTTCTATTTGATTGTTTTTCAGATGGGAGCGCCATCTTTAAAGGCTGTTTCAGGAGGCCGGACAATGTCACCTTAGCACTTCCTGTTGGTGCCGTCATTCAAAACATGTCCGTGGACAAGTGTGTGGACATGTGCACAGAGAAGGTGTGTGTGAATGTGTGAAAGTGTGAATTCGCTTGGGTCTGGAATGTGGTATTGATGTTGTAATTAAGTTAAATACAATTTTAAATGCACTTAATTTGGAGAGAATTTTAAAAAGCTGCTTTGTGAAATATATTAGGCTTCCCACTGATCCAATATCTAAAAATAATTATCATAAAATTCTTTAGTTGAAAAAAAAAGATCGCGATTCATGATTTTATTGTGCCGTCACCCTCCTGGGCAACCAGTCAATACATACAGTAGACTGTGGCTTTGACCTTTGACCTACTTTATGTTCTAATTTGAATTGATATGCTTTTTTAAACATTACCTGTTTTAATGAAAATCTTTAATTAAATAATATAATACTAAATAACTCAACATGTTTTGAGAACTGCTTTGCCTGTCGTTCTAATAGATGTTACTGCAAACATGCAGATTCACTCTGTAGTTCAGCTGTATGTGTTTTTGGAAAGCCTGTGGTCTTATGACTTCTCAGTTTTCATTATTCAACTAACCACCAGGACCATAAAGCAGCACAGAAAACACTGCAAAGACACTGGGGGACAGCTTCGCCTAACAGCTTTTAAAGGCCTCATAAAAACCCAGTGTTTTATTAGTAAAAGTCAATAAAACATTGTGTACATAATATTTAATATTAGTTGTTACCTTTTTTCTGAACCTGCTTCATGGCTGTAGACAGCAGTGAGTTACACTGAAGCAAGCTGCAGTTCCAAAGCACGTTAGCATTCATTTTCGGTTCCATGCACTCAAGCTAAACCTAATGTAAATTAAAATAAGTAGAAGATGAAGAGCTGTGTGGTAGGTAAAGCTAGCATCACGGTGCACAGCAGAGAGACCGAATAGGCAGCTTCTTAACTAATCTCTCTCTTAAAGGAACTTCTTAAAGGAACATGAATGCCAGCATATTTAGCAGGCTGTTTAAATTCTAGTTCTCCTTCCCAACATGGCAATTATTACCTTTTATGCATCGCCATTGGGTTACTTGTCGATCACTGAAGATTTCCATCTGCCTATCACTCAGGCTTACATAAAGGAGCCGTAATCTAGCTTTTCTCTAAACCCCGGCATGTAAAATTTGTGCACACAGCTAGTGACTGTTTTGTGATGTTTCCCTTGAGTGCCATGCTGGCAAAACTATTTAGTCTCGACCAGTTAATAATCTGGCCGTGTGTGCCATTTCTGTTTCAGAACTGTTGTTAGCAGACATGTTAGCCCTTTCACATTTGAGAGAAAAGAGCAGGTTTCTGTGGCTTCTTAGAACAATATGAAATCTGAGCATATTCACCACCCTATAAAATGGTTAAATAAAAATGTAAATAAATAAATAAATAAATCTAAAGCTGTAAAACCAAGTCTATACTGCTACACACATATCAGAACTGAAGAAAATAAAAGTAACTGGCAGCCAGATCATCAGAGCAGTCAGTCAGAGTGGATCATAAACCAATATTAAACACACCAAAATTAGCATAAGTTTACCTAAAGTGTGCAGCTGTATTATCTATGAAATATAATACAAATAACGGATCAAACCGTATCTACTGATACTTGATATTTAAGTATATTAGTAGATTTGACCACTGTCCTGCACTCTGATGGATGAATCTGAGTTTGGCTGATGCCAGAAGAATGCTACCTACCAGAATACATATTGCTAACAGTAAAGTTTGGTAGAGGAGGGATAATGGTCTGGTGCTTTTTTTAGGGTTTGGGCTTAACCACTTAGTTCCAGTAAAGGACAATATTAATGCAAAGACATTTTAGACAATTGTGTGCTTCAAACTTTGTGACAAAGGTTTGGGCCCACTGAACACCTCTGTGATGAACTGGGACGTCGATCGTGAGCCAGGCCTTATTGTCCAACATCAGTGCCTGACCTCACAAATGCTCTTTTGACTGAATGGGCACGAATTCTCAAAAACACACTCCAAAATTCTTGTGGAAAGCCTTCCTAGAAGAATGGGATAGGCTGTCCAACAAGCTTATATAGAGGCGATAGTCAGGTGTCCACATACTGGTATATGTGTAACTGTATGATATCTCCCTGTGTCTCTCGTGTAGGAGTTCTCTCTGGCAGCTCTGGCTGGCGATAAATGCCACTGCGGCTTCCCAACAACTCTCTTCACCCTGCATGAGCCAGAGGAAGAGGAGCTGTGCATTCATCGCTGTGCCGGAGAGGACTTTGAGAGCTGTGGAAATGATGAGTACTTTGTGGTCTACCAGACGCAAGTGCAAGGTAATGGTCATGTCTCACTACTTGGTCATGTCTTGCTATTTAAGTGCTGATAGCGCCCCTTGTGGAGCATCTGAGGTCTTGAAAAATTCTTGAAAAGTGTATGTTTTACAACTGTTTTTTTTATGGTCTAATTGACAAATTGTTGGGATTAGTAGATTTTAGAAGAATTAGTATGGAGTTTTCATGTCAGTCAGTATTTTAATGTTGTGCTGCTATACTTAAAACTTTCCTAGTGACAGTGCTCCAAAAGGTTACATTCAGCCTTGAGTGCATTACTATTAGCTGGATTGGTCAAGCTGTCCATCATTCAAACCCTGGAAGTCACGCTTCCATTTGTTAGTGAAGGTGTCAAACCAAGTCTGTCACTTGATTGTACCCCACTACATCCAGGGACTTCATATTGTATTCAATGTCACTAAACTGCTAAGGGCTTTTGGCCAACACGTGGCCAATGCGACCTTAATGCAACTGGACGATAATGTGTGCATGCAGGTCATTTCAGGGTACAGGTATATCCATGATAATGACAGATATGGGTCACTTACAAATGGACAGCAAGGATCTGAGCAAATAAATCAGAATTGAACAATGAGGCAAGTGATGTGAATGTAGCCTAGACATTATTATCAGCTGGCTACGTTTTCATGAAGTAGATGATAAATTCCTGATATCCAGATATTTTCTAGTGCTACATGGGCAGCCATTCTCCTGAATTCATTTAAAAAATAAATAAATTGTTTTATGAACTTAATTATGCCAGATAAACAGTTAGAAATAAAGGTTCTGTACAGGTACATTTTTCATTCATCAAGGTACAAACAATGTAAATGTACCCTCAAAAGGTACAACAGTGGTTTTAAGCTCCAATTGTCCACTTAAATAAGGTGAAAAGCACATATTTGTACCTTTTCATAACTTAATGTTTTAAAACAGAACAATAAAATAAAAGGCCTGGAGACGAGACGGGGTGTGTGGAGTCAGTACAACTTAGAAAATATCATTTCAGTGGATTATGGTACAGTTATGTTCCCTGACTAAAGGTACTGAGATGTACCCTTGAGGGTTCCACCCCAGTGACAAAGAGGGGTACTGCCCCGGTGACAATTTACTACCTTTTTTCTGAGAATGTAGAGTAAAGACAGCATAAAACTTACCTCATTATGAACTTGTTCTTTTTTTAATGTTGTTTGTTTTTATATGCTAGGGGCAGAATTCAGTTGTATACGCCTATATTCAATGGTTTGGAAGCACTTTTCATATTAATAATTATTATTCATTAATAACTTATACTGGGTAGGTTAAACTGTGATAAACCAAAACAAGTATTTTCAGAACAAGAATTTTAAAAAATTGCACGTTATTTGATAATCATTTCTTGTCACACATGAATGTATGACGATATTAAAGTCACATGGGAATCAAAAAACAGCTGTCAGGATTGGACCAATGTTTAGATTCGACTGATATTTCAAAGCAGTATTTGCTGATGTATTTATTGTATTCAGGAAAAGCCGAATATTTAAGTGGTGCTGAATAAAATGCAAAAAAATTGAAGTTCATTAGTAGAACTATTAGTAGTATAAAAGTTAATAATGCATTAACGCAATAAATTACTAATGACACACCATTTTTTAACCATTTTCCTAGTTCAACCATCCTCACTTCCAGCCTGAAGCCCAATTGCTTGTGCGCTGTTGCGACTGTAGTCCTCCTGTTCAAATACAGTTTTTAAAGTTTTTAAACTGATCTGGTAATATTAATAATATCAGTAACATTAGCACGGGAAGACGCCTAGGGGTGGGCGATATAGCAAAAATATGATACTTAAAGACAATTTCACGACACACAATGCGTATCACAATATTTTTGCTTGCAGACAAAAAGCACCAGTAGTCCCAGATTCATAAACTCTTAGTACAATGACTTTTACTCTAAATTTGCTGCAATACTTTAAATTAAACAGGATGATATTGGTATTTGTTTATTGCTCTCTAGCTATTGATTATATGGTATGGTAATTACACAATTCTGCCTTCAGATAGACTTTTTAGAGTACCAAGATGAAAAACTTAATGAGTTTAGGAACTTTTATTTCCCTTAATCATTTGCGATACTTAATCAAAAGAACAGCCTGTTTAGTACATACGCAGTGACATACACACTTACTACGCGATTTTAGAGGTAGTGTGGGAGCATTGTGGGTTTCGGTGATGGTGTGAAGTGTATTATTGTGGTTTGTTGTTAGGTGTGTTATCTGGTTGTCTGTGAAAGTTTTGTGGTGGGTGTGGGTGTGGGTGTTATGTAATGGAGCCACTATGACAAGACAAATTTCAGAGAAACAAAATGTATTGTGTTGTATCATATAATATCGCGTCCACAATATTGTTCATCACGATGACAGAATTTATCACAACAACGATAAAATATCACCATATTACCCACCTCTACCTTCAGGAGACTAGACTGGACAGTGCTTATAGGAGACCTATGGATAAACCAACAAGAAACAGCAAACAGTCACCCTCGATACAAGACGTGATGTACCTGTATGAGAACAAGAGCTGAAACATGCAGCCACTGTTGCTCTCACTGGACCTCGGCGAAACTGTGGAAGCTAGAAACTGTGTTCAGCCTTTTTTCTTGTTTACCCTGCGGTCATTAACTAATCATTAGCTGACTAAACTTATTTTGTCCACTCATACAATCGTATGCAAAAGTTTGCTTACCCCCGGTCATCATATGAAGGAAAATAACTTCAAAAAATTCTCAAATGAATCTTCATTTAATTTCATTTCATGTCGTTTTATTAGCCAACCACTTAATTACACACATACTGACACAAACGGCAACTAGCACATGGTGCTCTAATACTCAGATATTTTGCTCTTTTATTATAAAAAGTTGAGAAGAAAACCTTTAACTCCAGTTTCTTCTGTGAGAATCCTTTACTAACTGTTGTAAAAGCATGTATGATCATTGTTATTCGTGTTCTTGGGTTTCACTTTCGCAGACACTGTTTAGTTTGCAGTTGTAGTGAGTTGTTAAGTTTTACACACGGCTGTGATTACTTATATCACTGTCACCTCTCACTGTAATCATCTGTTTAGTATTAAGTAGCGCTACAACTTCAAGCAGCGCTACTTAATACTAAACAGATTACAGTGAGAGGTGACAGTGATATACGTAATCTGTGGCTTACGTTAGTGAGCGTTCTGTTATTCACTGATGATTTTACAGCCGCAGACTCTCTTTCACATACACGTGGCCTCATAGGGATGCTGCTGCCTTGTGATTAAATATAATGATATAATGAAGCTTGGGTATAAAAGGACCATCCAGGAAAGGCCTAGTACTTTATGAGCAATGATGGGTTGCATCAGCAAATAGTCTAAACTAGTCTAGACTCTTTCTCAACAAGTATTTGCAAAGATTGTCGATATTTTACCTCTATAGTGCATAAGGAATCAGGAAAAATCTCTATAAGGCCAAAAACCAAAACTAAATGACCATGACCTTTAATCCCTCACATGGCAGTGTGTTAAAAACTGGCATGCTTCTGTGATGGATATCACCACATGGACTCGGGTATACTTTGACAAACAGTTGCCAAAAAAAACACTGTTCATCTCTGCATCCAAAAAGTATGACTGTACTATGCATAGCAGGAGTCATATGTCAACAATGTCCAAAAAAACACCGCCGACTTCTCTGAGCTTCATGTGTTGTGGTGTTACAGACTTACTACTGTGGGGGACATTAACTCCTCTCTAGAGTCTAGAGTTTAAGAGGTTACAACATAAAAATATAAAGATCAGCACACAAAGTCATATTAAAGCCAAGAAGTTACATTCTCTCTTTTTATTGCCAAAAGTTGCACCTTATTTACCTTAAACTTGTTCAAAGTTTACATGAACATAAATTAATTTGGGCTAAGGCCAAAACAACAAACAAAAAGACTAACCCATGAAGCTTCCTTAATAAAAAATAAAATACAGACCTCCTGACAGACAGCTCCTGTAAGTCTTAGTTGATATTAATAGAAAGTTTACAAGCTAAGCTAGATCTACAAAATTGTGGCAACTTTTAAGTAATCTGTAGTAAAGAGGTCAAGAGATTAACGTAGCTGAAAAACAGCACTTGACACTAACAACAAGGCTAACCATTAACAAGGCTGATCATCTAACAAAAGATCAAAAGCCCAAACTGACACTGTCGCGAGGTGTCTGCCGCCAGCTGAACGCACCCTGGGCAGCTACTGCTCACTGCTCTGGGTCTTTTCAGCATGGCACCAATGTCGTGGACCAATCACGAGGCACGATTAAAATGATAATCCTGCACTACGCCAACCCCCAAATCTGGAGCGCCAGTCTGGAAGATAGATGTCAAACAGAAACAGTGAAAGGGGCAATACCAGATCTGTTGCAAGTTTGAATAACATTACAGAAAAGGTCCTGGGACGTAACATGTAGTCTGGCAAGTCAACCTTTTGGATTTTTATGGAAATAATCCAGGCCGAAGGCGATTGTTACCAGCATACAGTTCAAAAGTGAGTGTCATGATATGGAGGTGTTTTAGTGAGTAAAAATCTGTGAAAGCACCATTAATGCTGAAAGATATCTACACATATTGGAGCAACACATACTGCCTGTTAGACAATCTTTTTGCTTGCCGAGAAACAATGTGCATGTGTTATAGCAGCATGACTACATAATCAGAGAGTGTGGGTGCCAGTCTGGCCTCCCTGTCTTCTATTGAAAACGTGTGACAGACTATGAACCGCAAAACATGACAACAGCCCTGTATGGTTGCGCATCTTAAGACTTGCGTATGAAGAATGGCAAAAAATTCCACTTTCAGAACTGAATCAACTGGTGTCTTCAGTACCTGTTGCTTAGTAAATGCTACTATTATGAAAAGTGTTGTAACAGAGTGGTAAACATGCTCCAGTCCCAACTTTTTGGAATGTGTTGCAGGCATCATATGTAGAATGACATTGGCATTGGCAGAAGAAGAAATACAGGGAAGACCATGATTTTGCTTCAAGATGGGCTCTTTAGCAGAAAGGCACATACATAGAACCAAACAAGAGGGAGAGGTCACCATTAACCATGCACTTCACCCAGATCCCACCACTTTCAGACAAACACTGAACATCACACCTAAAATTGGTTTTATATTATACAAAACAGTGATTCCAAACTTGGGAATGAAGTCGAGGCTTTTTTGTGTTTGGACCACAAAATGAACCACATAAGAACTATATGGAGAATCATCGTTTTAGATGGGCTGAGTTCATTTGACACGCTCACAAAAAAGGCTGCATCAGACTTGAAACCCCAAAACAGGTCAAGTGTGAAAACACCCATAAGGCCACTGTTTCCGTGCAGATTCTAGCATGAGAGGAGTGGACTGGCGTTCAAAATCTGGTTACGAAATATGCTGATCATCGGCTGAAACAGAAGATTCTCTCTAGTTTCTTTATTTTGCTTCATTTTGATCAGCTTCTTTCAAATGATGCAATTTAAGTTGTATAGTATTAGAATCATATAAATCCCTCTGCAGCATATTCACTGTTGGTAAGCATTCCTGTGCTTACAGTCATGTAATACATATATAATTTTGAGAAGGCCTGTTTCTTTCTAAGCTGTTTTTCACTTCCGTTTAACAGCATGACAACATCAAACACATGATGTTCCCCAAATCCTCCAAACTTCCCTTTTACTTGCCCAAAAACACTGACCACGTTAACACACAGGCATCATTGGGTTCCAATACAAAACTTAATAATAATATTTTGTTTTCTTCTCACGCAGGATTTAAGACGTGACGTGGTTGATACTATATAAAAAACAGTTTTTATATTGGTGGAGTCAGAAATGCCTAGACCAGCAGAAAGACCACAGAACTGTGTATGAAAACAAGCAGTGTTTATGCTGATGGAATCAGACTCACAGCATAAAAAACATCAGCAGTTTGGAATAATTTTTTGTTGTAGACTGTATCAAATAAGGCTGCGTGCTATGTAAGGTGGTGGCAGTGTGTTTCTAGGATAAAACCTTCCTTAAAATAATGTTTCTTTCTTTAATTTTTTGTATGTTGCTGTCCGTAGGTAGAGGTTGTTGACCTGCCTCTCAATTCTACATTTTAACGAAAAACTATACGACTAAAACTTTTGCGAAAACAAAAATTTGGAAACCAATTGTGACAAAAGTGCTTTTCCACTTTACCGACCTCAGAACTCTCTTTATTATTATAATTTCAAGCACAAAGCGTTTTTATCTTCCTTAGTTTTTTTGCTTGGTTTGTTTTTTTTTTTTGTTCGTTTTACAACTGCTTCCACTGTAACACTTATGTAGGGCACAGGCAAGCACTTTGATAGACTGCTGACACAGGCTGATGACTACTCAGGGAAGGAAAAACAACTTCAAGCAGTCTGGGGTGGTGGAGGTGGGGGTACTATGGGTCAAATGGTCCATAACTTCTAAGCCATGAAGCACAGAATCAGAGTTGTTCTTCATTTTGGTCACCATGCCCAAGGCCGAGCGTTGACTAGAGGGGATAAAGCCCCCCAACATTGGGCTGTGGAGCAGTGGAACTGTTCTCTGGACTGACGAAGCTCCAGCTAATATCTTTATTATGTGTTGGAGAGGCATTTCTGGTCATGCAACATCAGTACTTGCCCTCACTGATGCTCTTATCAGGCCCATAAATATTTGGGCATCACCAAAGTTATTGTAATGTAATAGAAGGCAGTATTATCAGCTAAATGCTTAAAATCTCATTAGACAGAGCTTCCCATTGCAGATGCACAATGACTTGAAACATCCTGCTAAAGCAACCTAAGACTTTTTTGAGGCAAAGAAGTGGAATGTTCTGCATTGGCCAATGAGTCACCTGACCTCAATCCAATTGAGCATGCAATTCACTTACTGAAAACTGAAGGTAAAATGACCCAAGAACAAGCAGGAACTGAACAGCTGTAGCAAAGGCTTGACAGAACAGGGAAGAAACCAAGTGTCTGGTGAAGCCTGTGTTCCACACTTCAGGCAGTCCAAAGGATTTGCGACCAAGTAATAAAAATAATTTATGCTTATGTTAGTTTTGTCCAATTACTTTTGAGATGCTAAAAATTGGAGTACTATGTATAAAAACAGTTGCAATTCCTATACCGTTCATCTGATTTTAAATTGGATTTGTACATGAATGTACAACAAAATTGGTTTTATATTATACAAAACAGTGATTCCAAACTTGGGAATGAAGTCGAGGCTTTTTTGTACTTGGACCACAAAATGAACCACAAAAGAACTGTGTGGAGAAACATCGTTTTAGATGGTTTGAGTTCATTTGACACGCTCACAAAAAAGGCTGCATCAGACTTGAAACCCCAAAACAGGTCAAGTGTGAAAACACCCATAAGGCCGCTGTTTCCGTGCAGATTCAAGTGTGAGAGGAGTGGACTGGCGGTTACCAAATATGCTGATCATCGGCTGAAACAGAAGATTCTCTCTAGTTTCTTTATTTTGCTTGATTTTGAACAGCTTCTTTCAAATGTTCATCTGACTGGGATGCAAATACCGTCAAATTAAAGCTCATTATTTAGTTTCAGCTCCAGCGTGCTGTGGTAGACAGCTAAAATAGCAATAATTTTGTCAATGTCCAAACATTAATGGACCTCAGTGTATCATCCAACATTTAGTGTAAAGACTTCCCAGAAAGGTGAGGCTGTTACTATATGTGGCTCCCCAAGCAGGGCAGGGGAGCCACAAATTTCCTATTAATATTCTTGATTTTGAGAGAAACATTGGATGAGCAGGGGTCCATGCACTTTTGGACATAGTATACATGCTGATACACTCTTTTTTCCTTATTCTCTTATTCCCATTCTGTTCAACATCTTGCAGCTCTTAATTTCCATCTCTCTTCCTCAGACAATCGATGTATGGATCGGCGCTTCCTGCCCACGCGTTCTAAACAGCTGACGGCTCTAGCTAGTTTCCCCGGCGCTGGAAATACTTGGGCTCGCCACCTCATAGAGCTGGCCACTGGATACTACACAGGGAGCTACTACTTTGATGGGTCACTATATAACAAGGGTGGGTGTGCAAAGCAGTTTTACAGTATGTGTAGTTTTTACAGTCTGACAGTAATGTTTGTGAATGAATGGGGAATGGTGTTCTGTATATTGCTTAACTTGGAGCTCTCTCAGTAATATTTATAAAATATTAAATCAACATATTGTTATTGGCTTTGAGCATTGTTAAATAACATCAACATGAACATCTGGGCTATGACCTTTCAACCTAGGCTATGGTAAATGAGAAATTACACAGGTACTTTATCTCATATCAGTCTGACAGTCAAATCTTATGCATTACGTCATACACATAATACTGCTCCTTCTGTGTTTCTGCAGGGTTTTAAAGGGGAGCGTGACCACTGGCGCAGTGGAAGAACCATCTGCATAAAGACCCACGAGAGCGGAAGAAAGGAGATTGAAGCCTTCGACTCCAGCATCCTCATAATCCGCAACCCATATAAGGCCCTCATGGCTGAATTCAACCGCAAATATGGCGGCCATATTGGTTTCGCCTCCCAGGCGCACTGGAAAGGGAAAGGTGAGAGTCAGTAACCACTTTGCTGGGAGCCTACTTTAAGATATTTTCTTGAGAGTAGGTAAAGCTTCAATGAAGCCTAGGTTTAAACCTTGTACTACGTTCAGTTAAGGACCATTGGCCAACTTGCACATAGAGAAATTTGACCTCTGCATTCATTTAACCCATCCGTGCAGTGAAACACCCACATACCATGCACATTAGTGAACACACACACTAGAGGGCAGCAAGTGCACTTGCCCGTGTGAAGGGGAACATGAATTTGAGGGGGGGGCTGAATTGAATGCAACACCAGCAAACGCTGCAGAGTGGGCAATTCTAAAATGTGATCTTAGCTTAGACATATTTCCTCGCGATATAAATACTCGCCCATGGTTGCCCATTGTTGTCTGGGTCAAAGCAAAAATGTGCCCAAACTGGTGACACCACGTTTGGTTTAGGAACTAGATTCTTGACCATTGTTGAATCATATAATGTCGACTGGCTAGGGCCAGCTGTATAGGCAACACCACATAAGGGAAGTGTGTTAACTATGAGCACATACAGTTAAACTCTAACTCCAACCATTTGGTTCTGTCTTTTTACGTCTGTGTATTGTGTGTCTATATATTCTGTTGAACATGATCTGTAGAAATCACAAGTAATCAAGCCAAGAAATAGTTCATAATAATCAGACACACACAAAAGAAATCCCCCCAAATGTTTACTGGGCTGTCCCTCTGCCATGCACACAAAACTGAAGAAAACACACAAAGCCCTTAAATATAGGATGGAAGAGTCAAGGATGATAACTAAACAATGATTAGAGTGTTTATATTTCATATCACACATCATATGCGTACATGTAACTTTCATCAGCAAAAAAAGAAACAAATATAGAAAATAGAGAAATAAATTGCAGTGATGACGGTCGGCATCACATGACCACAGTATTGCGGTAATGCAGCTGTCATCACAGTGTGTTTCCATGGTTGTCATATTGGGAAAGCATGATTTCCAATACAAAATTGGATTTGTAGGAAAAAAGGTCAAAGTGACAGTTGTACTCAGTTTTCCTGCTTATCCCAAATACAGTCAAGTAGCCAAGTCCTGTTTGCTGTCTGAATTTTGCTTTTCCAGTTTTACACTAGAGCTACAACGCTAGTGTAGCTAACAAGTAATTTAATCTTACTCCTCTCCAATTGGCATCATACAAACTGCCGGCTTTAATCATTACTCACTGTCCTCAAATTACATTGTAAAGTAATCTCAAATAGACCTTCTTATGCAGTTTCTGACTGTATGACATACTGTTATCCTATTAATGGAAAGTACTTTACATAGCTAAAAAAAAGCAGTAGCCTGAATTGTATTTGTGCTTTTATCCATGTTCATAGATAACAATCTGTCATACAGTGTCAGGAACCACTCAAGCAAGGTTAGTGTGAGTGTTTTAGATCTGCAGCTTGGACGGTAAGAAGTTATTGGTATTATTTGTTAGTTACATTAACATTGTGAATGCAGTGCAGTGCAAAACTAAAACAAGCTAACTTCGGACACCAAACATGCATTTCGAGTACATTCGGCACAAGTGGACAAATGTGTAAACATGATTTATTGCAGAACTATTGCTTTACAGCACGAACTGAAACAGAATGAAAATAGAATTCTGAGACAGAATGACAGAATTCTTGGTAAGCTCTGGTAAATATAAACTTTCATGTTCCTAGCTTTTGCTTCTCTTTTCTATTCTGGTGATTGAGTTAAATTGTGCCTTTGACGTTCCATTTTAGTCGCTTTGTTGGGTTTATAAAGAGAACTTATCTTTTTTTCCATACAGAGGATTTATTAGAGCATTTTTTAATGCTTAATTCTTTTCATGTGTTCATTCTGCCGCTTGCATACACAATTGCATGCAGAAGTTTGGCCGCCCATGGTCACATGATGTTTTTGGCGATTTTTTTTAAAAGTGAAAATACGTGAACACATCCTGAACAGAGAACACAATTAACTTAGTACTGCTTTTTTGCTGAATTTAACATATAAGTAAACAAAAAAAATAAAATGTGGCCTATGCAAAAGTTATGGCGGGTTGTTTTACTTTTTTTCAATATGTTAAACTTGGAAAAATAAATAGAAATTGTGCAATTAGGTAAGCAGAATCATGTCATGTTTAAGCATGTTCCCTGTAGAGGATGTGTTAACTTATTTTCAGTTAGAAAATCAACAAAACATTAATTTGTATTCAAATTTCTTGATTGGAAAAAAAGAAAAAGGACAGACTTTTACTCTAAAATGATTAAACCACCATTACAGCAACAACTGCTGCCAGTTAGGAATATGTATTACCTATCAAACATCTGACGGTCATTTTGATACATGAGTTTTCAAAGCAACTTGAGATGACTGTGTTCCAGAGTGCTCAAATTGCAGGTAGATCAGTGAAAAAGCTGCATTGTTTTTTCAAAATCATTAGAAAGAACATATGCCAAACGTAGACAAACTGCATTAGAAAAGAGGAACTGAGGAAAAAACACTGACAACAGACAAACAGGATAATTGCTGAACACAAACAAAAAGTACAGAATTGAAACAGCACCTTTTATCAAAAACCGGGTGTTCTGGGCTTTACAGTCCATACAAACAGTACATTCTTCGGCAAGGCCAGAGCACAAAGCCGTGACACGATAATGTTTGGAACCAGCATTTTCAATAATATAAAGCCATGTTGCTGTGCCTGATTTCATAGCTTATGTTATTAGAAGGATAATAGGAAGCTTAAAAAAAAGAAATATTAGATTTTAAAGAAAATTTAGACAGTTAAACAGAACTGTAGATGACTCTAAAATCTATAAAGCCTCAAGAATGAAATTCCACTGAATTTATTGTTTAAGTTCAGAATACGTCATACCTGAAAAGTGGAAATCTTGAGGTAGATAACTTCTTTGGAAATAATTGCAGTCTATGGTTTATAATATATATCTTCAAAACTCTGAAATATATAACATCTGGAAATACCATTTGGTATCCAGTATATAAGGATTAAATTTACATTATGATAGTTCTTATTATTATACTCCTTATATATTGTATTTATAGTATTATGTTTATATATACATGTATATATCATCTACCTATCTATCTATCTATCTATCTATCTATCTGTTTATTACATAACACAACACAAATAATAACACAAATTATTGAAATAGCAAGTGATTCCAATATTGTATAAATAAACCCTGGATCCTTAAAACCTAGAAACAAGTAAATATAATATGACAAGCTGTCTTTTACCATTTTTCTTACACAACAGGTCTGAAACCAGCTTTGCTTAGTATGACTTTTTTTGTCAAGACAAAATGGACATTAATGTGTTTTAACATATATTTGAGACATGATTTGATACATTTTACTATGTGGACATGCTTTCAGCCCAGCTACTCTGAGGACAGATTTTAATGAGTTAAAGGGGGCAACACCAAGGTACACAGCCCCCTCCACAATTATTGGCACCCCTGGTAAAGATGAGTAAAATGGTTATAAAAAAAATCACTTTTTGGTGAATTAGTTTAATCTCACACTGAAAAAAAGAGAACAATCCAACCTTTAATTAAAGTCAATTTATTCTGAGACATGAAAAAAATGCCTCATGAAGAAATATATTTTCACATGTGCCACAATTATTGGCACCCCTAGAAATTGTAACTGAAGTATTTTTTTCATTGATATTTTACTTTTTGAAATTGGTCAGTGTCTAGGAACTTCCAAGCAGTAATTCATGACTTCTTGTTTCACTGGCGGATATATATGAGGTGACACAGAGGTCAAATTCCCTTAGTTCAATATGGGGAAGACAAGAGAACACAATTTAAACACGGGAAGAGTGTGTTGACCTTCAAAAGTCTGGGAATGGCTATTAAAACACCTACTGTCCTGAAAATGCCCATATATAGAGTAAGGCCAAAAATTAAAAAGTTTGAGTCAACTGGAGCTGTGACAAACTTGCCTGGATGAGGACCCAAGTTTAGTTTGCCCTACTACCGGCAGATGCCACCTCCATGCCAACAGATTTTTTGGAAGGCATGCAAGGAAAAAGTCTTTCCTGTCATCTAACCACAAATGTAAGTGCCTGGAATTTGCTAAATACTAATAGTACCTTGACTGAAACCATGTTCTATGGTCAGATGAAACAAAAATTAAGCTTTTTGGCAACAAACACTCAGGTGGGTTTGGTGTAAAAAGAAAGATGACTACTCTTTAAAGAACTTGATGCCCACTGTTAAGTATGGTGGAGGGTCTGTGATGTTGTGGGGCTGTTTTATTTCCAAAGGCCCTGGGGACCTCGTTAGGTTACTTGGACTCCATTAAATACCAGAACATTTTAAATCAAAATCTGTCTGCTTCTGCTAAGAAACTAAAAATGGGTCATCATTGAATCTTTCAGCAGGACAATGATCCAAAACACTTATCCAGATCAACATAAAGATGGTTTACTGAACACCAAGCTTTTGCCATGACTATCTCAGTCCCCTGATCTAAACCCCATAGAAAATCTGTGGGGTGAGCTGAAGAGGAGAGGGCACAAGACCAGGTCTAGGACCCTAAGTGATCTGGAAAGATTCTGTAAAGAGAAACTGTCTCAAATTCGGTGCGTTGTATTCTCCAACATTATATGATGTTATAGGAGAAGACTAAGTGCTGTTTTATTGGCAAAGGGAGGTTGCACGTTTCAAATGCAGGGTCACAATAATTGTTGATATTGATAAATAAAAAACAATGAGCCATAAACCGAGCAACCCTCAGACAAATAAAGCAAGCTTGAACAGCTCAAGTAATTCTTAGAAACTCAACAAAACAACATTTTGGATGAGAAGAAGTAACTGCACCACTGACTGCTACTTGCAGTTGTTTCTGCATTAAACATTATAGCCTGATCCAACAGATTGGTAAATGTGGAATAGCGAGCTGCCTCTTTTACTCGTGCAGAGCGGAATAGTATTTTAGACACCAACTACAACTAG